ACGGTTTCTCCGAGTAATGATGGCCGTGCGAATCATCGCCTGATGCTGCGGAGAGATGAATTGCAGATGAGTTTCTTTTCCAYCTTTGGATGAATCTCTGGAGTTTAAATTGTAGCAAGGAAGCGGGAAAAATACACAATGAAAGAGAAGTCCAAAAATGCTGCCCGGACTAGACGGGAGAAAGAAAACAGTGAATTTTATGAACTGGCTAAATTACTACCCCTGCCCTCCGCTATCACCTCACAGCTGGACAAAGCATCCATAATCAGACTCACCACCAGCTATTTAAAAATGAGGGTGGTTTTTCCAGAAGGTAGGTGAGAATGCCTCTTCACCTCTGTTTTCATTCTGATGCAGGTGTCATTTATCACTTTTAAGTTTAAAAAAAAAAAAAAAAAAAAGGAGGTCGGTCCTATGGGATGGTACTCGGAGACAGGGTGCCCTCCGCTGTCACTTTTCTCTGTTGTAAATACTTTGCCTTTAGCTCCTATGACAGGTTTGGATGGAGACTTACGGGTCTTTTGTCAACACTTAAAGGCACTGAGGTCTGCTGTGTTCTGCTAAAGCAAACGCGGGTTTTCTTTTCCCCCAGTCTCCCAGTCAAATRTGCATCCCACACCAAGCACACGAGTGGCCTAAGAGGGCATGATTCACCCTTATTTATAGTCATTCTGTGAGAGGGAGTTAGTATATGGGTAAATATGTACATAAGTCTATGCAAAGTCCTAAAGACTTAGTTCAGCTTTCCAGGAAAGGTGCGCTGTACAGGTACAGGACACGCATACCGGCGTGCTCACACCCAGGCTAAATAAATAAGTCGAGCACACTGAATCACATCATCAGTGTGTTGTGTCTCGTTCAGAGGATCACTAGGGCAGTTTGAGGGTGTTCAYCCATCTCGGAAAATTTTAGCAGGAGTTTTGCACCCAGATATATTCAATCTCCCTGCCCATCCAGCTCTGCAAAACCAGTGTCCCAGCCTAGACATGGTTCTCCTCGATAGGCAACAATAAATTTCATGTTGATTTCTACGGCAGCAATAACACTCCTGTCTAGCAAAAGAAAACTTAAGCGTTTTGAAGTGTCTCTTGCTTTTAAATAGAATTCAGATTTAAAGGGACCGTCTTTGGTCTTCTAGATCTGCTGCCAAGCAAAATAAACAACACAAAGTTAAGAGTCAGAATAAAGTTCTTCCGTGTTCCCACTCCATTGATTTTATAAAATGTAGGAGAAAAAAAGTTTTAAAGTTTCAAGCACCTTTCATTTAGGTTAACTCAATGGAGTTGTAGCCTGTATGAAAGAAAAAGTATCAAGAGCTTTTTTTTTTACTCCCCGACCTAGTTCTAAATTTGCTGCATCTTTTGCTGAAAAGTGAGTGTACATGAGAAACAACGTAATATAGCTATGCCCCTCTGTGCTTTCCGTAGCTGTATCTCGACTCGGTTGGCCTGTATTTTTTACAAATTAAGTGTGTGTGTATATGGCCTGGTTTTGTTTTGCTTTGGCTTTTTGTGGTTTGCTAGTTTGAAGGGTTTTTAATTTTTTTTCCTCATTTAAGTTTGTGGACTATTGGTGCTAATTCTATTTTTTAAAACTAATACTGAATGTGGACTGGGGGAGGTAATCCCCTCCCGCCCCAGGTTACATGTGAACGTTTATACCTAAAGTCCACAGCAGTAATTTCCAGTTCAGCACATTTTACAATAATTTCTTTAAACAACCTTCCATGTCATCGAGTCACTTGTAACCAAAGAAGGGGTTAAATGAAACCTTTAAAAATAATAATTAGAGTCTTCATCAAGCCACTTTCCTCTTCTATTTGCTCTGCCACCTTGAAGATCATTATGCGGGACAGTCCTCTGTTTCAAAGGAGACGGAGTTGTCCTTTATACTGTCAGCGCATACTTTATAAAAATAAAGCTATTGCAAACCCTGATACCCATGATGTTCCTAAAAGGATTATTAGCAATGATTTGTCAACTCCTGCGGTCTCAGTAGGTTACCTTTCTGCGTGATTTCGAGCAGGTCTCGTCAATTACTGGTGCCTATGTAGCGGGTTGTTTGATCAGAAGAAGCATATGGTGTTGCTTGTAGGCTGTGAGTAATCATGGGAAGAGAAGAATAGCTGATCCCCGTCCCTCGGTGGCAGCGCAGGATGCCTGAATGCCCTGGGGAACCGTGCGGCGCAGCGCGCCGGGGCCGGGGCCGCTGCCGGCCGCAGCAGATGCTAATTTGAGTGCGGAGGCAGAGGGGGCGGCTGAGCGGGGCTCGGGGGCAGCGGAGCCTTCGCAGCCTCATTAAAGGCAAACTGCGCATTAGAAAGAAAGGCAGGGAGCAGGCTCGGGAGGGCTCGCCCCTCCGAAGCCGGCCGCGGGAGGCCCGGAGCCGAGCGGGTTGCAGACCCACGCGGGTCCGCCGCCCCCATATAGAGCCGGGGCCGCGCATCCCCGCGCAGGGCCGCGGCCGGCAGCGCGCTGCCAGCGGGACGCAGAGCCGAGAGCGGGGATCGCAACGTGGCGTGGGGCCGGGCAGCTTCCCCACGGTCCCACGCTGGCTCCCTCTCCCTTGCCCGTACTTCCGAGGAGGCGGGGAGCGGGGAGTGCGGCCCGGCACGGCCCCGGTCCCGCGGGTTTTCCTGCGCTCCCGTGCCGCGATTAAACACGAGCGAGGYGCCCACGAGCGGCCTCCCGGCGCTGCGCCTGTGCCTGGCCGTGCGGGAGTCGAGCCCGGGTGATTTTCCCCGGGACCCCACTTGGGTTCCCGGTGCGGCAGTGCTTGTCCTCGTGTGCCGTTGCGGAGGAGAGGAGGGAAGCAAGGGGGCTATTTTGGTTTTCCAGTGCACCCATCCAGAAAAAAAAAAAAAAAAAAAAAAAAAAGTCATGGCTTCTGTGGGAAGGGAGAGCAGGTACTGGCAGCCGGAGAAATGACGCACGGAAAGGACAAGTCTTTCCGAAAGGAGGAGGCCGGGTGGGGATGTTGAATGGATGTAACAGGGGCCCGTTCGCTTGTATTTCCCTGGGGAGGAAAGCGATACAAGCATTGGGACAGCCCCGATGAGTTGCCCAAAACACTGGAGATGGGTAGCAGGAGGCTCGGGAGCACGGCGGAGTGTCACGGACTACATTTAAAGAGATCTTGGAGGGGTCCAGATAGAGAAATGTTTTCTCCGTAGGAGCGAGCTGCACTTCCAGAATAACTCACACCCCCTCTCCCCGGTACAAGAGCGAATTTCCATCTGCCCAGAGAGTGCTTGCATAGAGTTGGTTGTAAATAACCACGTACAGAAAGATATACACTCATCGCCGTGCACACGCGGGGCTGGGGATAGGGCGGAGAGAATTGGTGTGCGTTTGTCTGCATATTTTTGTGCCKGAAAGGTCCCTATAGAGAAAGAAGGTGGGTAGATTTCGGGTTCATTTTGGAAACAGGAGTTTTCTGGGAGTGAAATACCAGGRGAGTCATACACAAAATAAACACGTGGGGTTTCCTTCTCACCCCCAGATATCTAAACACAAAGCAATGGCACTGGACAAACTTGACAAACTGGGGAGAGATTTTTCTATCTCTTTGTCGTGATGGCTGTGCAATTCTCATAAGTTATTGAAACGCCTGGGTTCTTTCTACCCCTAATTTCACTTTATTAGGTCTTCAGCAGATTTAAACTGTCTAGGAAGAAAAGTGTTCAGCGACGTAGGTTTCTTGCATCGTTTCAGTACTAAAACACTCTCTTCAGGAGGAGAAAGCGTATAAGACCTATAATTTTCGGTGATCAGACTACTTTGGAAAGAGTGAATATGTGCTAAATTTCTGAGGACATTAAGGAAGGGTTTTAAGGTTTTTTGTTTGTTTGTTTGTGCAGGACTTCGTAACGAATTAATTTCTGATTTAACGTTCATTATAAACAAACACTAATATTTCAATTTAATATTAAATCATTAAAGGTAAGTAACGTAGACACAAAAAATAGGTAGAAAAATCTCCGAGGTGTCGAAGGACTAAAAGAATTTTCCCTAAAATCAATGCGATCACCAGTACTGGCGGGGTAATTCACTGACCTTCGGCAGTATCCAGAAGGAAAGGGAGAAAAAAGTTAATCAAACCCAAACAAAACACCCAGGTGGCACAATAAATAATTTTTGTTTGGGTTTTGTTTTTCTTTTYAATTCGAAATATTTTAAGGGTCCTGTTCTCCATAGGCAGTCTGTCCTAGTCTGGGTGGATCATTTTGGTGTGGAGAGGCGTTTTCTTTTCGAGACAAAAGCAGAGACTCCGTTTACATAAACTTTCGCCGAATCAGAATGGTTAACATTTCAATATTGAAACCCTTAACCTTGTTTGATTTTAAAGGGGGAAGAGATCAACAGAAAAAAAAAAAAAAAAATCCGTTTCCCACGTGGATAGGTGATTTAATGCTGTTTTTCTTGCTGCAAAGGGAAATGATTGAGCATTAGGTTTCAGTGTTTATTTTCTTACAGAAGTTTTTCTCATTTAAGCTGCAGTTTACTCTCCACGCTGCATCTGTTTAATTCCAGTTTTGACGTGAACTTAAAATGAAAGGAGCAGAACTAAACTACTAGCAGGATCATTGGGAAAAAACACAAAAAGCACCAACAAGATTTATGTTTCAGAAAGAATATTTAATGAGAAGACGGGGGGAAAAACATATTTCCTTTGGAAACAAACGACCGTTTTCATGTTGGAGGATATTTTTCAACTTGCGTATAAACAGCGTGTGCGTTGGTGCAAATCCTTCCTTCCCCTATTTCTTCAAAATAAGGGCTATTTAAATTTGAGTCTTCTGGATAAATCAATAAGTAGTTGGTGCTCGAAAACGGCCCAGATTTTTTCCCCCTCTCTCCAATTTGGACATGGTTCCGTTTGTTTTCATTTCAAAGCGCAATTCCGCTACTTCATGTGTGCCAGAATCCTGGTATTTCTTCCTATAGTGAAACAGCTTCAGCATTATTTCCACTACCATTTTCTTAACAGGGATGTTTGTTTAGTCAACAGGGCTTTTCCTTCCCATTATTATTATTTTTATAAAGAAAGAAGGATGCTGACTTATCCCTGCTTCAAATGAATACATGTGATTTACCGAGATAGTAAATCTTTACAAAACCTTCCTAATGGCATCCGCAGGCAGTGGAAATAGGCAGCTTTTTTTTTTTTTTTTTTTTTTTTTTTTTTTTTTTTTTTTTTTTTTTTTTTTTTTTTTTTTAAGCATAGCTTGTTCTATTCCATTTGACCCTTCCGACGGAGATCTGGTCCTTCACAGAAGCCTCATTTGGCCGAGATTTTGAGTTATCATTAACCACTGCCTGTTAAATTAACTGAGAAATCAGCTTTGTTGAGCATTAGGCGAAGGCAGAACGGAGCGCTGGCGGCAGACGATTTAATTAAATGGTTAATCGAATCAAGCTAATTCCTCGATACAACATCCTTTTGGCTTGCCGGTGACTAGGACGTTCAGCTTCTGTTCCCACCGACTCCCGGAGCTGTTATTTGTTATTTTCACMGGACAAAGAGGGAGAATGACCGCGTGGGAGATGGGGACTGAGCTGTCCTCACTCACTTTTACCAAACAACTCCCGTGCCCCGTTTGTCCCTTGAAATTAAGGCGGCAGCAGCGCCGGCGAGGGGCAGCGGGCGGCAGGGAAGGTGCTCCTTGAGGAGCCGCTCACGAAGATGACATTCTGATCCTCTCTGTAGAGAAGCTTTGCCGGGCAGGTTGCACGATGCCGGTGTCCGTGCCCGGACTGCCCCTTCTCGACCTGCCCAGCACGGCGAGGGCGGCTGGCGGGGCCCGGCCCGCCTCGGCGCCGGGGGAAGGGGCGATCCCCGCGGCGGAGGTGACCGGGCGTCCCGCATCCCGCGCCCTCCGTGGGGTCAGCATCCCCCTCGGCGCCGGCGGGCGCGGAGTGAGCTGCTGCTCCTCCTTCTTTAACAACCATAGAGCGGCTCTTAAAAGGGCAAAGGAAACTCGGCGAAACCGAAACATACAGAGACATCCCCGTGCTTCGGCCCCCGGGAGGGGACGGGAGATGCGGGAGAGCGGCGTTGGGGGCCGCTGTCCGGAGAGAGTATTGAGGAACTCCTGAAARTGAAACGCGCTATAGACCTGTTGGGACCCGACTTAGGGAAGAGACCCTGCGGTTGCCCTGTTGGTCAGGYTCCCAGCGTTGCCTTGCAGCAGCGGGCTGTCTTCGGGAGAGACCCCCCAGCCTGTCCCTCTGCCCATCCACAGCAACAGGAAAGTGCTCCCTGCCTACGGAGCTTCGTCTCCAAATCACCTTCTCTGGGCCTCGTCGGGCCGTGCGAGGCGGTGCGGCAGAAGGGGCGAGCCCCAGAGAGGTGTCCAGGGTTCCCCGACCCCGGAGGGAGCTGCCCTCACGGTCTGGCCCCAAAGAAGCGGCTCTGTAGCTCAGGATGGGCTGTCCACTAAATATTTTTAACCGGGGACATCAAGTCGCCCGCTCCAGTGAATCCGGATAAGCGCTGAGGTTTCATGACGAAGAGTCCGCTGGGGGAATCGCCGTAACTGCTTTTAAAAGCCGGCAAATCAGCACAAAGTGGATAAGCGCTTGCATCTTCTGGCCACCCCACCCCCACCGGCCACCCCCGCCCCTCTTTGCTATTGCCAGACAAAGGACGGGGTCGAGATGGGCTCTGCGCTGCAGATGCTCACAGAGGGACAAGTAACCCGGAGATCAACCAGGGCCAAGGACCTGCCCTGGTTTCTCGGAGTCTCGGTTCCCTGCGCCTGCCTTCCTCCGTCCTTGCCTAGATCAAATTAGAAATGACTGAGGAATCTCTTCCCCCTTCCGTGGGACAGAAGAGCTTCTTGAAATAGTATCGCCAGTGGGTAGGGACAGTGCCCACCCAGCCCTGGTTCCATTGGCTGTCGACATCAAGGCTCGCATCAATCAAAAGATGAGGGGAAGGAAGGATAGGGCCAAGGCACAGGAGCGCGGCGGCTCTGGCTGTGAGCCCGGCCTGGGGGACAGGCTGGCCGTGCGAAGCGGCTTTCTCAGTGCCGGGGGTACGGCTGGGTGGGGAGAAGACATTTCACAGAGACCGGCTGGTGTAGCGAGTCCATGAAACCGATGGACATGCTTTTTGATGTGGAAAGCCCAGTGGTTTTGCACTGGAAAATGCTGAGAAAAACCATGAGTCAGCACGCTGGCTGGCACAAGGTTCCGCGCAATATAGGTGCAGGCTGTTGGGTAATGTTGAGCGATAGGCTGGCTGGCTAAAATGCTTTTGTTTGTTTGTTTGTTTGTTGGTTTTTTTTGTTTTGTTTTTTTGTGGCACAAATGGTTAACCTTCTTAGGAAAAAAAAAGTTCCTCGAGTGAAAGAGATTGTAAGACAGCGGGAAGAGTTTGTTAGGCAGGAGCATATAATCTATATTTTGGCAAGAGTACTAAATTCGTTCTGAAATAAAGGCTCGATCCATTTTTTTAAAATATTTYTTCTTCTTGAATAACGCAGCTGGATGATGCCTTGAGCTTGTGTTAGATGGTTGCTCATCATTCATTCGCCAAGAACTGACCTAAATGGTGCCTGTGGGATTAGGTCAATTTTAGTGGATCTACTTCGCCTCATTTGGTTACTAATTGGTTTCTTGTTTTATAAATCGAAATCTCATTTTCAGGAAATTACAAAACCCATGCAGCCAGTCCATTGAGGTAATCCGTGGGTCGGGGGTATTTAAATGGAAATGGTTCTACAATGCATCAGGCATTAAGCAACAGTAAAACTTCCCCTCTATTTCCAAATGAAATGTGAGCTCGCTAGCTCCTTAGATCCATAATAGATACATCCCTTCTAAGGCTACTTATGTAAATATGAYAAACCAGACCGGTGGGGGAGGGGCCGCAGGGAAGAAAGCAAATTATATCTGCTAAGGTTAATGTGGCATAACTTGGAAATCTTCCAAAATAGATTATGTTTTGCTTTGTCTTCGGCCACTTTAGCTGGGAAAATCCTGTGCCTAAAAACGATTTAGTTATCCTTCCCCTCACAAAGCTGCTTGTTTCTATTCCAAAGCTATTATGCCGTTGGCTCTCCAAATTACAAGAGAATCTTTAGATCTTGTTTCCAAGCGTAATCCTGAAGCAAAAGGGAGAGCTGATTTCCTTGTTTTGTTTTAAATAGACAATCAAAGGATTTGCAGAGTTTTCTGCGGTAGGTCAAGTGCAAGAAATCACAGTTTGCCCCCTCGATAAAAGGAAATTGGATGTTAAAGCAAATGGACGGGGGTGGGGGGAGGGAATATTAATGGAGGGGACTTTCTCTTATAATCTTTTAAAACAGTATTTAAGGGACATCAAGAGAGGCCGTTGATTTGGGAGAGGCTGGGATTGGCAACGAATAGAAATAGTCTCCGTCTTGAAAGTGCTGAAACATTTGGGCAGCACAAAGGATCGTCTCATGTGACAGGATTTCAAAAAGCCGGTTCAGGTAGACAAGCGAAAACGTTTAATTATAAACCATGAGCAGACACAGCCCAGCAGCGCAGGGTTTCCACCTGAAACATAGCGAGGAGCTCAGCCCTCCGTGAAGAACCGCCTTCCCAGGGGAGGTTAACCTGCACTGCCCGTGAGCTGTTCATTAACYCGCTGGGGTCGGGTTATTTTCCCCTTTAGAAGAAGAATAATTAGAGCCGTAAACTTCGATTAATAAGCAACTTAAATCATAGGCGGGGAGTGCAGATTTAGTCTTGAATAAAGAAACCTGTCACTCAGATTTCCCTCCGGGTGGGGGGACGTGGCAAGGAGCCGCCTCAGCTCTGGCCGTCCTGGCTCCCCAGCAGGGAAACCTCCGAGGAGCTCGGGAAAAACAAATACACCGGGGTTTTTTCTCTCTTTCCCTGAAAGCTTTGTTACATTTGTCCGCTCCTTCCTGAATACAGGGGGCGGAGGTGATCCTCCATCCTGGCGGTTGGCTCCCCGTTAATTGGCGTGGTGGAATTAATAGGAAGGAGCCTTTTTCTGGCTGGCGACCTGGTACATGCTGAGGCTGCAGGATAAGGAACAGGCCAGGGAGAATCTCCTGCCTTTGAAGTTAAGAAGGAAGGAGAGAAGTGTAGGAGTGGTGAAGAGACAAGCTGTTGTGAAGAGGTGGACGAAGAAGCGGAGAGAAGGAAGGGAAAGGCGGGGACGAGCGGGGCGCACCGCTCCGGGGATGGGGAGAGCGGGCAGGGGTTGCGCTGGGATGCCCCGTTCAAACAGCGTGAAGGAAATCTTTAGCTTTTTTCGGACCGGCAAACACTTGGATGAGGCCCGTCAATAGCGAGGGGTGCCCGCGACTGCGTGCTGTCACCACCTCGTCTGTTTATCATGATATAACTGGAAGACGGGGTCTTGCCTTTCCCGAACCCGCACTGCGGGTGTGGACATACCCCGCCGGCTCGGGTCTCGCCTGCCCCTTGCCACCTGCTCCCCAGTCATCCATCGGGATTTGTATGTTTTCCCTCCCTTATACTTTATCTTACTATTTGTGCCTGTCAGAGTGAGCCTTATTTCATGGCAAAAGTGTTGGAAGTTTTAATTGACCCGTTTAAATTATTTCAGCGACAACACCGTGCAAATGTATGGTYCATGAATAGTTTTACTCTGGTGAAGTAATTTCTACCTGGCTTTTATTATTACTCACATTGTATAGGAGAAAACAAGAAGGATCTCAACCATTAGAGAAGTCCGGAGAGATTAATKTCTGCAGGGGGCTGTATGGAGGCAGATCACTCCTCCCTGCAGAGGGAACTATCCCGCCCACCGGAGCAGCAGGAGGAGAGATGGAAGCGATGGAGGTGATCCCGGAGACAGAGTTCGTGGGGCAGGAGGGGGATGGTCCATGCCRTCGGACAGTGACCTGTCTGAGGAATCGTGGTTAGGATGCTTTCCCTGAAGTTCAAGGGGACAGTTCCCAGTAGCCGAAGGCAGCAGTGAAAAGCACTTTGATCTGATGTGCTGTTTCACTTAAGTCTTAAAAATTAACTTCACMGTTAGCTCAAAAAGAGGTATTTGGATACTTTTCTCTTGAGGAATTAGATACTTTAAAAAAGGATTCACAAAAGAGGCTTTTGTCTGCAACGAAGTCACGTCTATTGTAGGTATACTCGTTTTAGAGTGGATACAAGMAAAAAGTGTTCTTCTCCATCAGGCCCCCAATAGTCAATATTTCATCTCCTGACCTTACTTTTCTTTTTTGTTTGTCTTAAAAACAGGWCTTGGAGAAGCCTGGGGTCACTCCAGCCGAACCAGCCCGCTGGATAATGTTGGAMGGGAATTGGGATCCCATCTTTTGCAGGTACTGGTCTGGAAACGACAGTCACATGGTATTAATGATTAAAGAAATAATTCCCGCTTCTGAGCTTTTAATTGCCACCTTGACTAATTTTTAACTATCCAAGTGTTTAATAAAAAGGGTAGGCAGGAGGGGAAMAACTTCAGATATAGGAACCACCGTGATTGAATATCATGTGTTTTACTGGGGCTGGGGCTTGGTCCGTCTGGGTCCTTTGCCTCAGAATCACCTAACGCTGGGTCCAGAGTGGTAAATTCACAGTGTGTCCCAGGATGCCGAAGTACAGGAGCATGAATTTTCCTCAAATTATTAACAAAGTGCCATGTATCGTCAATATTCTGAAGCTCAGAGTGCTGTGGCAGGGAGAGGCTCAAGCGACAGGTTAGGGAAAACTGTCCTGGACACAAGGGCTTAGCGGCCACCGAAATTAGCAGAGACACAAATCAGGTAGGACATGTCTGAAAACTGTCAGTCCTCTGAAATACTAAAGAATATTAGCTGTGACCATCAGCGCACGTTTCTGGTGGGGTCCTGTGGCCTTTGGGGGGGCCTATTCTCCTCTCATCAGTGACTCAGAAGTCTCATCAGGGTCTGCTGAAATGTACCTGACAAACGGTCTTATTTACACCGCGGAGAGTTTCAGATTCCTTTTGATCGCTAAAATTCTCCGTAGAAAATATGCAAGCCCTAAACCTCCTGCTACATAAGAAATRGGATAAGAGTGTTCAGGATTTCTGGGACCCACATATTAATCACCAGGTAGCCCGGACCTCTTCTCAGACACTTCCAAGGCACTTTGCATTACTTTATAGCTCGGCCCCTCTAAGAAGTGGATTGTATCTCAGGACTCCAGGAACTTTAGAAGGATTCTTTTCTGAGAGTTGCTCATTTCCCTCCAACTTTTTGAATAATCAGAGCCTGGATATGGATGCCTGTTTGCTAAAATAAATCAGAGGGACAGGCATTTCATGGCTCTGTCTATCTATTGATTTATTTCTATTCCTAACCCTTTTCTGCAGACATTAGACGGTTTCATATTTGTCGTGGCTCCAGATGGCAAGATCATGTACATCTCGGAGACTGCCTCGGTGCACCTGGGCTTGTCGCAGGTACGCTGGGGGTCTGCTAGCCCCGTGCTTGCTGTACCACCCCCCGCGACTGACAGGGGAGGGTGCCGGTGCCGGCGATAAGTCCCCCTCCTCCTCCTCCTCCTCCTCCTCTCTCACAGGTAGAGCTGACCGGCAATAGCATTTACGAGTACATCCACCCCGCCGACCACGACGAGATGACGGCGGTGCTGACGGCACACCAGCCTTACCACTCGCACTTCGTGCAGGGTAAAACAGGCAGCCCCCCGCCCCCACCTGGCCGCCGCGGTAGCGTAGGGGACCGCGCAGAGCCAGCGAAGCCTGTGGCTCACCCTGCCTCTCCCTTTCGACCTTCCTAGAGTACGAGATCGAGAGATCCTTTTTCYTGAGGATGAAGTGCGTCCTGGCCAAGAGGAACGCGGGCCTGACCTGCGGGGGCTACAAGGTGCGTGCCCGCGGCCAGGATCCCCGTTCCGCCCCGCACCAGCCTTCCCTTGCTCCTGTCCTGGGAAGGCGGTGAAAATGGGGAGAGAACAGGGGATGAGACCTCTGCTCGCGGGGGTTTTCCCAGCCCAGGACTCTTTCATGTGGTTAATTTCTCTCAGAATCTCAGGTTGAAGAGCTCAAACCACAAAACCAAGCAGTCGAGCAATCGAGCTCCTTTTTTTTTTTTTTTTAAATTTTAAATTTTGCTCTTTGAATCGAACCTCGCACAACCGTTGAGGTTCTCTATGCCAGCTTTCAGGAGGTACAACGGGAACCCTGGGTTAATTTATTTCATTAGCTAACTAGTCGGCTGCAGGGGTAGCTCTCCCAGTCAAGAGTTTTKCACGAGTGCTTCACATGGTTCTGCTCGGGGCTCCTCGATAAGGAGAGCCCCTGCTMTCCTACCCCCTCGCTGCTTTGTGCCAGCTGCACAACGCCGAGGAGCGGGCTGTGCTCATAACCCGAGGAGATGTTTTGTCACGATGTACCGCAGACCAAGAACATCTGCTGAAATAACTCCAAGAAGAAACATCGAAATAATAGAGAAATAAGGGAGGAAGTAGGCAGCAGTCATCTGCAAGGACACTTTTAAGAGATATAATTTGAGGTACTTTTTGGCCATGGATTGCGCCTGCTCCATCTATACAATAGACCTATCTTACATATGCGACATAGGCACACATGTAAACTCTTTCACTCACACACATACACTCTTCATTACAAAGTTGTAACTGGATTGGCACTTCCGCGTCTTTACTTTTTAGAAGAATAATAAAAGCGCAGTTAGGAAATGCGCCAAAAACCACTTAAGCCAGTGGAAAAAAATCTCGTTGACTCTAATGGGCCTTAGATTAACGCTGGACTCCAGTATGGGAAAAAAACCTCAACCCTAATAGAACAGCAGAAAACTCCAAAGCAGTTCCGCTTTGCCAGGGCGGAGACGCAGGGAGCCTGGCAGCCACATGGGCACAGGCAGGGCGGGTAGAGGGTATTGTCCGGGCTCTCTTCGTGGGGAGGGATGGCTGTTTCAGCACACCCTTCCCCCCCCTGCTAGGCAGCCGCCAAGATTTCCGGTGTTTCCCGCAGGTCATTCACTGCAGCGGGTACCTGAAGATCCGCCAGTACAGCCTGGACATGTCCCCCTTYGACGGCTGCTACCAAAACGTTGGCTTGGTCGCCGTGGGCCACTCGCTGCCGCCCAGCGCCGTGACGGAGATCAAGCTCCACAGCAATATGTTCATGTTTCGGGCCAGCCTAGACATGAAACTCATATTCTTRGATTCCAGGTAGAGCTGGGGTTATTCCAAATCTATTCCCCTAACCCGACCCTTCTTCCCCAAGCCTCCTCTACTGTCCTCTTACGCATTTATATTTGCTACTTATGTCTCTTGCAGGGTAGCCGAGCTAACAGGTTACGAGCCCCAGGACTTGATAGAGAAGACCCTTTACCACCACGTCCATGGCTGTGAYACCTTTCACCTGCGTTGTGCACATCACTTGTGTAAGGARATGGTCTTCTTGTTAAAAACCCTGSCCCCCATCTTCTCCCTTTGCAGATGGACTTTGGGGTTGCTGGAATATACCTCTAGGTCGGAAGGTGAAAAGCCAGCTCAGTGGAGGGCAGAATAAGCAAAATCGGTGTCAGATTTTAGTGAAACAAGGTCAGATAACGATTGAACTCTGAGCTGGACACAGGAGGGAAATAGAGGAGATAGGCAGTGATAAGCAGTTTTTACATCCTCATCTTTTGGTTGCAAGTCAAGAACCGCCCTGCACAAATCTCAGGCTCTCTGTTCTCTTCAAATTCTGGTTAGGAAAACCCGTTTTTTTCCTGATCCAAAAAGCCGTGCCACTGAAATACAAACATTTTTGTTCCGCTTCCACCAAGTCTCACAAATCTTATCTGTGTATCTAATTTTGACTGCARTAATGAGCCTGATCCGGAGACATGTACTTTATTCTATTTTGWTATCATGATGACATTAATACACGGGTAGATGAATAGAAAGGATATTAATTTCTGGTAAGTTTCCTTACAGAGAAGAGATAAAACCAGGTTTATAGAATAAAATCTCGATGAAGACACTACAGGGTGGGAGTGTGTGGGGGTCAGTTCCCGTAGCCAACCACACAGACGCACACACACACACACACACACATAAACACACACACACAGACGCACACACATCCCGCCCTACTAATCTCCCCGATTAGCCTTTGATAACCATCCAGGTACTGAGATCAGCCCTGCCCGGAGGGCTCCTCCACCCTTGTCCCCGGTGCTTCCCCGTGAGCCGCTAAGGGGTTCCTAACCCCTCTGGTCGCCCACAGGGCTCTGGGGGGAGTWCGCGCCGTCTTCCCGGGGCTGATCAGGTGGGAGCCGCGCTGAGGCTCTCCTCGCTTTGTCCCCGCAGTGCTGGTGAAAGGGCAAGTGACCACCAAGTACTACCGCTTCTTGGCCAAGCACGGCGGCTGGGTTTGGGTGCAGAGCTACGCCACCATCGTGCACAACAGCCGCTCCTCCCGCCCGCACTGCATCGTCAGCGTCAACTACGTGCTCACGTAAGTCAGCCTGGGGCCGCTCCGAGCTGCGCGGGGCCGGGCGGGACCGGGAGGGACCGAGCGCCGGCCCGGACACCTGCGGCTGCTCCCCGCTCTGCCCCGGGCCCGCCGGCCGCTCCTCCGCCCCCTCCTCTCCCCTCCTCCGCGCTGACCAGGGCAGGCTCGCCAGGTCTGCTAGGAAACACATTGAGCGCTTTCATCTAGATGAAGGGTTTCCCGTCTGCCTCTTTCCTTCTCTTTCGAGAGAAGAAAAGATTTA